CGGAGCCGAGATTTAATTACTGTACCCCGCAGGGACGACGTGTGGGGAGGCGGAGAGACTATTAAAAGATTAGGCGGTTTTTCTTTCATGTACGTCCGCCATTTTTAGGTCACCGGCTTTGTAAAGCCTGGCTTAATTCGTTGAGAATGCGCTCTAACGTATTAAATGGGATTAGTGACGTAAATTAAGTTTTAAATCTAAAAACGGACTTGTATTTTATTCTGATGAATAAAGATGTACCAATTACATTTGCACGTTGAATATCGAAAGACGAAAGACCGGTTTCAATCTTTAAAATAAATCTGTAGGCAGCAAAAGTATGTTTCATATATATATATATGTCCATCCTAGCGTAAGCTATGTTCAAATATTCAGCGAAAGATAAGGATTTGGGCCGTTAAACCAAACTCCACGTGGAAGTAGACTTTGCACCTCTAGTGCCTTACAGACAAAGGAACATGAATGTATGTATTTAAACTGCAGTGCCGTGACAAGTGTAACAGAGCAAACTTTGCAAACCTGAATCGCGCACATTTGCTAGTCCATGTATCACAGATGTAACTAATGACAGTTTTGGGAAACACTTCAATATAAACGCTAGTGTGTACGATAATACATATTTAAATTAAATGTACTTATTGTACCCATGATGTTTTTAAGAGTAAGACTGTACCTGGTAGTAATAAATTGAAGTGTTAAGTCAGACTAAATGATAAATTCCAAACGATTATCATTTAATTAAAATATTTATTTACAAAGATGATGTTCAATGTAAGTTGTACATGAATTAATATAGAAAACACTTTTAAACTTTGCTAAATTATGTTTGAATCATAAAGGAACAAAACCTTTAAATAAAAAAGCAAAACAAAAAGAGTTCAATCTTTAAGATAACCACTTCACAGTGCACATATCTTCAGTATGTTATACAATCAATATTTATATCACAACTACTATGTATATATACAAATGTCTCACACTGGAGCAAATGGCACTGGACGGTGTCATCGTGTTTCAGATAATTCCACCTCAGCTATTTTTGACAGTATTTTACACATAGTCTTGCCAGTACACTAGATCTTCAGTGTCATATCTATACATTACTTATTCCTAGGATTGGCCTTCCAGACCTTGAAGTTCCGGGAGAGATATCTGTACCAGTTTATATCCACCAGAGATCCATGCTGTGCTTATTTCTGATGTTTAGCCCCCTGTGGGGTGCTGGGTTTGGGAGGGAGTGCTATCAGCCTGGGCCTGGTGGTGATGTTGTATTCCCTATTGAAGGCCTCATTTACAATGTTTGTTAAGGTGTTTTCAAGCAGATGTTCCAGAGTTGAGCTGAATTCTGGTAATCTGAAAGCAGAGATGGATTACACCAATGAACTAAGCACTACAATCATTTGGAATTTTCTTTATGAAGTAAGACCTCATCTAAAATCAAGTAGATTACACTATTTTCATTTACATGAGTGTTTTGGTGATGTATTGCTAAACAGGCAAACAGGTGAACCACTGTAAAATAAATACAATTAAAATAGACTAAACAAGTCCAGCTTTAAGCACCAGTGACTTGGAAGTACCCCTAACCTTACCTCTGCAATGCTTCTCTCTCCTTCAGTCGTTTCTCCTCCTGAAGGCTCTTCTCCACCTCATCCTGTGTGCGCCGGTGGTGTTCGGGGACAGATGACGCCACTGATGCCACTTCAACCTGAATATTACAAACAGACAGTCTCACAGGCCATCAAAGTATAGAAAGATATAACATGTAGTAACTAAACAAACATCAGAATAATAATAAAACAATCATTTGAAAAAAAAAATAAAAACTTGGCACCCTTTACAACTTTATGTACCTGAGCATATTGTTTCGAAACAAACTTTAAATCTTCAGCTGGATTAAAACTTGCAAGTATATGACACAGCATACAGATATGTAAACACGTACCTGCTCGCCCAGACCCTCGGTTGAGTGGTCTGATGGTGACGGTGATGGTACATAGCCTGTCCTAGCTGGGGTGGGAGGACGATCACCAGGAGCAGTGGTAGGAGCACGAGTGGACGGGACAGTTACAGTCTTTGGCCTACCTTCACCAAGTTGAGTGAAGTATGGGATCGGCTCATCTGATATCTTTTTCACTGCTTCATGGAAGTCTACATCATCCAGTAGACCTCTGAAATCATATGTCAGGCATGGTGTCATCATGAGTATAGACTGATATTAAAAATATTTTCTGTTATTGCAATAAAAGGTGAAAATACTGTAAATATTTGTTTAATAAAGATTTTATATTAAAAAAGAAGAAACTTGGCAAGATCAAGTCTTGCTAGTAAGTGTGATAATTTCAATTTTAAACCCATCTAGATATTGGTTTTTTATTTCTCTCTTTTTCATTTCTTTTTTCTTGGTAGTAGATGTGCACATAACCTGTGTCTGCAGAAACCGCTCATTAAGAAATTTAATGTATTTCCCCCCTTTTAAGCAGCCTACCTCAATACATTGCTAACTACTCCAGTTACAATGTCAGCCTCTATGTCTGAGCACTCCACAGGTTCTTGTTTCTCCTTAATCTCCTCTGTCCTCTTCTCTACCTCCTTCTGGAGTTTGTCACCAAGGGTCCTATGTGGGGAAAATCCTCCATTGGTTTTAATCATTATCTATGTTTATTATTTATTTTCATGCCAAGCAAGATGTGAAGCAATGGATTACCTTTACCAATCCTTTACAAATATTGGATACTTGGATTTATGATGTATTTGCACTCACAGTAGCTCAATAACATTAAAATGTTACCATGGTTGGTGCACAAATATGTCCCTATTGCCTCTAACCAACTATCCTGACAACAGAAAAACTAAAGCCACCTTATTTAAATGGCAGAACCACTACTATTAATTCATTGATCTAATAATGAACAGTATGCTGTAAAATAAAAACTTTTCTTCTAGTAACAAATTTGCACAATTCATTTTTTTTATTTGCTATCTTCCCTTTGATGTGAGTTAAATTTACTTACAAGTTAAGAAAGGGTATCATCATATAGTTTTATCAGAAAAAGATTAAGAAAAAATTATCTTTCAACCCAACAAACCTACCTGTCCACAAATGTGCTCTTGAGCAAATCTGGAAAGTTGACCTGGAAGTCATCAATGTTATGGGTCCTGGCTGTCACTCCCAGGTGGATCAGGAAAGGCTCTGGTGGGGATGGTTTCTGCCAGAACTGATCATGAAGCTTCCCAACTAGTTGTTGTCTTTCTCGCTCGAGGTCAGCAGAGCTGTGTTTGATAGGGGGTAGAGTCTGCAGAGAGATATAGACAGCATACTTCAACACTACACCTCACACACCATGGCAAAGGTATTAAGATAAAGTATATGAATTAATAAATAATTGAATAAATAAAGTTTTTACTCACAGAATATTTGATGAGGTCAGCCTCGGACTCCACCCTGTTTCCATTGAGAGCCTTAAGTCTGCCACTTGGAGGCCTCTCCTGGAACATAAAGAACTACTTAAAAACTTGTAACTTTCCAATACTGTGACTACATGTATCTATGTGTTCTCCTCCGAACACAATATACAGGTAATGGTAACCAGCTCAAACTAGCCTTAACCCCTGTTTCCTTACCTCCACATTCAGCACAGTGTGATCCGTGGTGAGGTCTTTCTCTGTGATGGTAAACTCGTACATCTGGCGGTATTTCTCTTCATCCCATTCCTTCATCTTTTTCCTGTAGACTGCCATCTCTGTCTCATCAGTAACCTGAGGGAGACACAAACAAGTTTTGTGTGCAAAGAAAGCTTGACTATATGAGTATAGTCTTCTTTACAGATTGAAAAGAATTCCCCCAAATCTCCTCTAAGCAGGAAGAAGTACATGCATACAAAAATGTTAAAACTGCACTAACAAACATTCTGACACTTACAAAATAAAGATCAAAATTAGGAATTGTCTGGATCTAAATTATGGAATATTCATTTTCATAGAGTAGGCTAATATTATATATCTTGGAAAAAAATGAAAAAAGCTACAATAAAAGACAATAACCAAATGTCAGCTAGGAAATGTTAGTTGCTCATCAGTTCATCAGTAGAAACAAGACGAGTTAATTATTCTCCTGCCAAAGCATAATTCTATGTATATTATTGCAAGGGAAAAATTAACCGTTAATCTTACCTCACACACCAGGTCAAGGTCATAAAAGGAGGGTGTTCCACATGCTGTGAAAGTGACCTTACACATGTGTGACTGGCCTGGCTGTAACGTGCCCTTGGCCGGCTGTATGCTCAATATCTGACTGTCTCCAGGAATGGTGACATGCCACTCATAGGATACCACATGGTCCAGAGACTTGTTGGTCAAGTTGACCATCTGTCTGGACTGGCTGAACAGTGGCAGGTTGCCCATGCTGATTCTTTCTTGGTTTAGGTACAGGAGCTGGAAAATATTAAAAACAAGAAAGGTTTTAACATAATCTCTAAACAAAAAGCAAAATTGTAGCAGAAGAAATTCCTATGCTAGTTCTATTTTGAGACACTTATTGAAGAGAACTGAAAAACCAAAGTGATGAAAATAATCAAATAAAACTTTATTCAGCAGGTGTAATACTGTTCAATTTGAAGAACATTTTCATAAGTCCTTGATTTGCGGATGTTTGTATAAGACTTACTTTGGTTAAATATAAGTTAAATATTGGTTAAACCTGTATATAATAAAGTGGATTGCTTTACCCAGTTAATGTATTACATGTGGGAATAAAACTAATTAAGTAAAGTTACCTGTCCAGGCACAGGTACGCTCTGTACAGCAGGGACACCTGACAGGTCATGCTGGTCAGTAATGGGCATGGTATCCCCCATCACACGCCGGTCATAGCCCACCCCAGTGAATGTGATCAGGGCACTGTCTCCATTGTGGACAAGGATTGGAACATCAACCTAAACAACAACAATAACGACTGTTACATTATGGTTACAATCTTGCCATGGTAACAACTTATATGCCAACTCAACTGCACCTATATCATAAAACCATTTTATCTGTGATTATGAATATTTGTAATAACTAAGGATAATCTATCTATCTAAGGATAAAATTTTAGTAATTCCTATCCTCAAAGTATTTCATATACTTTACCATGTAAGTCTTGGCTTCCAAGGGAGAGAACCTCCACTCAATGTAAGCAGTCCTGCCTGGCAAGATCTCTCCTTGTGGGTTCAGACACTCAAACACTGGATGGTCAAAGTTCTCCTGCAACAGCATTGCAAAGCTTCAGATTAATGATCACTTACATTCATTGATATTCAATGAAAAAAAAAAGAATAATCTTCTACACATACCAGTACACTCATGCAGCCACAAACACACATGCACAAACACACGCACTTAGATACAGATAAAGATAAAAACTAAGGATAATTACTCACCTGTTTCAGTATTTCCAGAGGTAACAGATCAAACTCAAACTTCACAGGCACAGCTCCTCCATTATACAACTCATAGATCTGATGAGAAGAACAAAATTCAACCAGTTACATGAGCTATTAACAATTAAATGGTAAATTATTGAACATAATGAAGACAAAATCTATATAAAAAATAATACTTTATAGGTTTTACACCAACAGACACATACAAAAGTCACATTTTAATGCTATTTAAATCTACAAAAGCAACAGTTGTGTACAAGTGTAAAGGTCTAAAATGATCAGTTTTATTAAAAATTCTCTAATACAAGCTGTGGTAATTTGATCTGACCTAATTATTGATGACCTACCTGCTTGGGGCTATTCTTCTCTCCTACAGGTACTGGGGTAAACATGTGCTTATTGCTGGGGAAGTGGATGTATCTTCTCTCTGGTTCTACTGTTACCCCAATGAAATTCAGCTACAATTCAATGAGTAAATTAACATTATAAAACTATCATGACAGGTTAACACCAGGTATATGCAATAAGGTATGCTATTAACAAAAAATATTAGTAATTGTTCAGGACTTAACTATAGACAAATTTCTTTCCTTAAAATTTATTTGTTCTTATTTTATATAAATTTCATTTTTGTACCAGGATTTCTCTTCCTCTAGCCAGTTTGAGCAGTACTGGTAGTCTGTCAGTGCCCGGAAGAGTGTGGTTATAGCTGAGGGTTATAGTCTGTGTTTCTCCTGGTTGAAGTTTGCCTTTCCTGGGCACCACATCAAACAGTTTATTGTCCATCACTTTCATCTGCAACAATCCAAATATAACCATATTTAAGCAATATAAGAACAAAAATTAAGTTTTTAAATATTGTAGGTGAAAGCATTTTGTTACTCTACATTGTTAAGTGCAAGAGTAATTAAAAAGTTGAAAAATGAAAAAATCGAAAAAAAAAAGTACAAAAAGTAATTACAATAACATAATCATTTTGCCAAAAATGGGGAAAAAGTGTAGAATGTGGCTTTAATTTCAAGTGCAAGTATAATTATTGCCATGTTTTTACCTCGTGCAGTTCATCTTCATCAAATTCTCCTGTCTCTGCCCAGTATTCCAGTTCCAGTTGCAAGTCACAAGGAAACAGGAATGCCCTACAGCATACAGCAATCGATTAATCATCACACATATACGTGACAAATTTATCCCCAAAAAAGAATAACTACTTTTCACTTCACATCTTAAAGTGATACAGCTGTATCTAGTGTGATAAGATATAAAAAAATCCACATCAAATGCAGAAACAAGATGTTTATTTTAAAATATTAAGAACAACAACAACAACAACAAAAACGGTCAACGTCTGTGTGAGCCAGTCAGGTTGGCCAAGTAGTGTACCATTCAGTAGGGACAGCTCCAGTGTTCTCCACCATCAGGCTGATTGTACAGGGTTCACTGTTCACGGGTGCTGCACTGAAGTTGAAGTCCAAGATGGCTCTCGTGTACACAGGAGGACGACGTCTGTGGCTGGAACATACACAGTTGAATGTTAATATCCCTTTCTTTGTTTTAGAAGCATATTGTCATAATCATGGCTCCAATATCTATACATCATGTCTTGCTTATAGCATAGGTCTATAGGCTATCCATATGAATGGTAATAAACACCAGAGATATAGCAGTTCCTTTTTTAAACTCTCAAAATGCTGATGGTATAGGGTCTATGAATATGCACACAACAGAATATGAACACTTTTTATTGTCTTAGTGGTTATAACTGACATCCCAGCTTACCTGTGCCTTGTAGCCACAGAGTACATCAACTCTGCTGCAGATGGATCCGAGTCCACACACATGTTTAAACTAAAAAGAAGCAAAACAAATTGTTTACAATGACAAGTAAAACAGAAAGTAGTCTCACGCCATACGAAGTGGGGTAAAATGTTGGATTAATCTTTACAGAGAATTTGATAAACAGATACTGGAGTCATACTAAGTTCATTAAGCTATTCGCACAGATATCTGTTTACTCACTTGTCCAAAGAAAACAAATTCCATAGTTGTTTTTTACTGATGCCAAGTGCGCTGCCATAACACCTGGCATCAGTGACAGCCATTGTGGGGTAGACACCTGTGGCTAACACATGACTGATGTAGTGGGTATCTGCAGCTACTGGATTCACAGACTCATCTGAGGAGATAATAGCATATATACATACATATCCTGCTTTTGTCTGCTGAAACACACTTCTGTTATTTTATTAATTTTTTATACATCTGTCCTACTTGTGATTCATTCCGCACTTGTTGTTTCAAATACTGACTTCATTTTTCAGACTTAAGAGTTGGGGACTGATCATTTTAACACTGCAGTGGTGCTCCTTTTAATTCCAAAATTGAACTGATGAACATAACAATATGTATTTTTAGTGCAACTTAAGTGACCAGAGATGACGAGAAAAGACCCTACCTTCAGGAGTGACCAGCTGGTAGGATATGGAGAACTGGTAGCAAACCCTCCTCACTGGGCGGACAGTGGCTAAGATTCTTTTCTTGGACCGTGCTGGGAGGACACCACTCATTTCCTCCAGCTCCAGCACTGAAAATACAGTACATATAACAATTACTAAATAAATATGTGTACAGTTCAAAATAACATTTTCTTTGAAAATTCATTAAAAAATACAAATATCTGTACTTTTTTGTATTGATTCTAGTTCAGGCGTATCAGTTACTTACATATGGTGAGAACAGTCTATGAGGCTCACAAAAGTGTGTGTGTGTGTGTGTGTGTGTGTGTGCGTGTGCGTGCATATTTGTGTGCAAGTTTAAATTCATTCTAGAACATTGTTCTGTAAAATCTTCCACAAGCTGTAGTCCTGACCTATGTCATCCTGCCTAGTCAGTTCCTCAGGGTATGGCCCACTGATTGTCTGCTCTATCTGCAGCTTGAAATGCAAGGCACAGTCTCCTTTGTTCCACAGCACTATGTACTGAGAGGCAGAGCTGCCTACTATTACATTCCCAAAGTCATAGTACGAGTCTTCAGACTGAAAAGGACAGATCATTAATTAAAAACCTTAGAGCAGATTTTTTTCCTTTTTGCTACAACATTTATCATCAAATTCTGCATTGCCAGCTATGTGCAGTGGTTGGTGGAAACATCATATCTCCCTAAATGTTAACAATGTACATTTCCCAACCATCACTACTATCAACACAATCTAAATACAGAAACAAATTTCATCATGTTTACCTAAACTATTAAACAGACTTAATCTGGTTCAATATACTGTAATTTGAAATTTCTATCCCATGCAGCACCAAGATTTTTCAGGTTCAACATGTAAAGCCTATTTCATACCTTGATTTCTCCCACTGCACCCTGACCAATGGCTCGAACCAAGAACTGTTTCTTCTTGCCCCCAGAGGAAGCAGCACTCTGTCCCTGTCCCCAAGCTATCAGGCTGGGCTTGCACACATACTTCCCCTTTTCAAGAGGAGTAAAGGACCAGGTGTGAACCTGAAGGGACAGATGAACACAAAGATACAATATCTGTGTTTGCAGAACATTTTTTTTCAAAGTACAAGTGAATGGTGTGGCATTGTAATATAGCTGTCACTCCTTTCAATGAACTCTAGGCAAGTGTTTTCATATCTTAAAATTTAATTCAACAGAAGCAAACACATAGTAGGTAGCTGGCCATACACTGATATTAAATACCACTGTTTTATCTCTGTATCATCAAGTGCACATGTGATATCAAATACTTGTATAAAACTGTACAATATTTTGTATTGGTTTTGGTACCAGTGCAGTGGTAGTACCTGTGATTCATTGGGTAGTATCAACCCTTCCTCTGGTGTCACTGACAGGACCTTGGCATCACAGTGCTTCAGCTTCCACTCAAACCTGAAAGTATTATACACAGGTACCACCCAGGTTAGTAGCAATACATATGGTTACTGAAACTGGAAATTCTAAACTGGTTGAGGGAGATGATGTGTCAAAGCGCTTCCAATTGTGACTGGCATAAATAACATTTATCCACCAATGCCCAGGAACATTTATGAATACATGTCATCAAAAATGAAACTGACAATGCAGAATGTCTGGTGTTCCTTGTCTTATTATATAAAATGTCATCAATAATTAAATTTAACTGACAATGCAGAATGTCTGGTGTCCCGTGCTTTATATAAGGACCAATCCATCATGAACTGACCTGAGTGGAATCCTTGAGATGTTTTTCACTGTGTACTGGACATGAGAGGCAGTCCCAATGCAGGTGGGTTTAAAGTAAACCACTCCTCCATTATCCAGTAAAATGTTGGGGGATTCTGCAGACCCCCAGGCCAATATTTGCTGCAATAAACCAAACACCAGTGGGAATAACAACATGTCAGGAAATAACTATATTTATATTTATAAATATATAACAAGGAGTAATGAAGAACTGAGGTTCTTTTTTATCAATCAATCATTGTCAACAAATTTTAGTTAGCGATGGCAAATTATGCCAAAATAAAAAAACCACAGTATGAATGTAAGTGCCAATTCATATAGTAGGGAATTTCCCTGTAATACATGCAAGGCTTTCAAGTGATCTGTCTGAGATGGAACATACATATTACTGTTTTTTATTTTATTCCTACCTTGGTATTTTTCTCTGCATCATTCAAGCATAGTTTGAGTTCTTGTTTGTAAGTTTTCACCTCCTTGGGGAGCATTCTGACAACAAACATTTGGTGTTCTGTGGTCAACAAACCCTTGGTTGGCTTCATAGAATAGACATCTGACTTGTCTTTCTCAAAGTCAAATAATACAGGGGTAGTCCCAACATTAGACAGCAGGAGAGTCCTGTAAGTTGCTTCATTAGTATTCACTGCAGGGAAAACAAGTTTTTCTGTGTCCAAAGTGACTCTTGGTAGGAAAGTTTCATTGTTTGGCATAAAGGTGTGTCCTGTAAAAAAATCATTGAAAGGGTTTAATAAAAGGTGCTACATCTAAATGGAACAATACAAGAAAACGTTCACTGTTTAATTCCAGCAGATCTGATTCTAAGCTTAAGGGTAATTGTTTCCCAAAATCAATGAAAATAACAATAATTCTAGTGCATGTTACATTGTTAGAAAATAAATTCCTTATACATTATACACGCACTGTCACTTTCTTTAAGGAATATCTAATATCTGTGTATTGATGTATTTTAAATATTTACTGTTTTTACATTATATGTACTTTGTCATTAGTAGCTCACACAGCTGTACTAGTTTATATGCAATAACTCTTAATCTATGCAAGTATATGAGGTGGCTGTACCTGTGGTCTGGAGTGTAATACACCAGGGTGGACAGTGAGTGGTGTCCTCCACCAACCTGTAGTCACGCATACTCTTGTAGTACACATAACACTCCAGCTCAGCCCCATAAAACTGATTTGGAGCATTCTGAAAATAACCAATCGTATTATTAAAATTGTGCTTTTCAAACTTGAAAAAAAAATTGCTTCATTAATTATTAGCACTTTGTTTTACCCCATGATGTGAAGGTTTATATTCCACCTTGCTACCAGAGCAGTTAATAACTTCAATAAATACAGATTGAAAGAAAAATTCTAATTTGTTTTCCAACAAATAAGCATGAACTTACTGGTTTGAAATTAACCCTGAAGGAGCAAGCTTTTAATGGAGGGATATCCATGGAAGATGGTACAACAGAAAACACATGGTCTTCCCCTGAAGAAAGGACCCACAAATTTTAAGAAACAGTATTGTTTGCTGACTATTTAAATGAATAATCAACAATTTCCACATAAATTAAACATTATCTAAAAGCTAGCAAGAATACTGTTCAATAATGATGGTTAAATATTTCTATAATGGTGTTAAAACGATATGGCAATCACACTATATTTCTTGATTGTCTTGTATTACCTCCCATCCATTGCACTGTCACCTTGCCTTTTGTGTGATTGGTAATATTGAAACTCTGGAAAAATGAAACAAATTATACGTTAAAATATAGCAGCTAATTTAAGAACAATACAGAATAAGAACAAAAGGCTGTAGTGTAAATTATCCATTACTATAGTTTACACATTTAATATAGACTTTGTCCAAAACCTACTCATTGCGATATAACACACTATGACAATTTTTAAGAAAGCACGCTTTTAATGGAACATAAAAATCAATAATAATATAACATATAGTAACTGTAATTCTAATACTTACTTTTTGCTCAGTCACTCTCCAGTTGGTGATGTTCCCAAAGTCAGCAATATGCATGTCTGTGCTGGCATGGGGGACAGTGTGCTAAAACAAAAAAAGGAGGGTGTTATTGATATCAGCCTGTAATGGATATTTAGAGGAACTTGAAACATTTCCAATTTCTTCATTCTGGTGTCACATTTCAGCAGTGTTTGACTATGACTTATGTTGTCCTTTGATATGGTAGGAAATAAAGATTTTTCAGTGGCACAAGATAATGATTTGTTGTACTTGCAGATATTTCCTCTAAAACCCCCCTTCTTTGTACATCTTAGGGTGTGTAACCTTACCACGATGTCTGAGTAGTATCCATCATTGAAGAATTCATCCATGGGTGGAATGCGTGGGACTGGATAATTCACAGGATCAATAGCCTCTGACTGATAGGAAATAAAACAATTTCCATATAAATTCATCATCAGCAGTCATAAAGTGCCATAATTAATGATTTCTCTACTTCTTCTCAAGTAATTTATTGGTCAGTTTCTGAAATTACTTAGTACTTAAATAAAAGAGAATAAGGAATGTATTTTTGTTGTGCAAAATTGCCATCAATAATCAAATAATTTGGCAAGTTGTGTGAAAAACTAAAATACATATAGAGCTTATGTGTACTAAAATTAAAATTGAAACAATGTATGAAAGAGGATGAAACTGTGGCATTGTTACCTGACGAGCCATGAGTGCTCCTGACTGGTCCTTTTCAAGTTTGCCTGCCTTCAACAATTCATTTAATTGCTGAAAGAAACATACAGAAATAAGTGTCTGCTGAACTCATATTACAAAACATTATTAAAGCACACTGATAAACATTGTAAAATGAAGTGCACTAGCAAAGTTAACATTTGTTACTTTTTAAATAGTATATAAAAACAAAACTTTGCAAAAATGATGTGTAACATATAAAACACAAAACTGATCTACACATGATGAACTATACTTCATTTCCTGGGTCTGGTTTTTACTGTTATTACCAAAACCATTATCATTATTTCTACTGGTACCATTACTGTTTATCATCATGTACCATATGTTCCGTACCTCAGGTGGAAAAAATGACAATCCTCTCTGGGTATGAACCCTCAGTCTCTCCACATGTTTACACTGTAATACAGCTGGTTTCATTGTCTCAGAATGACATGTGCCCAAAAGATCCAAGAACAAAGGACCCTAGATAAAAAAAGTTGTTTTTTTCATTAAAACAAACTGAAAAAACTTTCCAAAGAAGGCTCCAGCACTAAAATCTGTTTTCACTGAATTTTCTCTGTATTAAGTCTAATATTAGTGAAGCAAACTCTTAACATACAAATTCAGGACTAACATCACAGACACAAAATTGAGGTAACAGAACATGCTAAGCTAAAACAATGTGTGACTTATACACAATAATATATCATGTGCTCACCTGATTTTGAACTCACCTGATTTTGAACCAGACAGACAACTCTCCTGTAGTAATTTATTGGGTGTGAGGGCTGAAACTTCAATACTATTTTTGTGTAAGAGTCTGGCTTCAGTGTACCGCATACCTTGTCCAGTTTGAAGACACTCTCATTGCAGTCAAGCATGAACTGTAAATAAACATGGAGTGATCATTTACCAGACAGAACTTTTCGAGTATTCACCATAAAAGATGTCAAGAACATCACACATCCAAATGGGTGATGGCCAAAAGCTCTAATAACAAACAATCGCAAATCAGTCATGAGTATTTATGTTAATATTTTTAAAATAAGATCTAATGAAGTCATTTTCACTTATAGAAAGACTTCACAAGCCTGAAACCTTGGCAAGTGATTGTATCAAAGCCAAATCAGAACATGATGTAATTGTTCAGGAATATTTTGTGAAGTTTCATGAGAACAGTTTTTACCTGGAAGGTGGCTTCTATGTCAGACTTGTTCCTGATCTCAAGTGACCTGGTGGACGTATCCCCAATATCTATTTGCAGAAAGTTGATCACACTTGTACTCAGCTCAACTGCTGGACCTAAAAAAATGGAAATTTACACTGAATTTATTTTTAGCCTTTATTTCTTGATTTTAAGGCATCTAATACATATTGTAACTGACCATTTTAAACAAATCTTCTGATGTGTTTTTTTTTTACTTTGTATTTTTACAAACATTTTACTAGCACTAAAATAATTTTCCATAAAGCATGCATCCTTGCAATCTGTTTTCCTTAATATAGGTTTTTAAAATGTTTTTTCTATATTAAGAAATGAAGGACATTCCAGGGTAGCATCAATCTTATAGCATTCTATGGACTAAGAATTTAGTTTTTAAAAAGAAATCATAAAAAAGAAAAATATTCTTTAAGAAAAGTCAATAAATTGATTTTACCTCTAGAAGAACCCACACACTTAATGACAGTCTTGCTGACATTGCCAATGGCAGAGACATGGAAGTAGTCTATACTTGTTGTTCCCACTGTGTTAGGGCAGAAGTAGATCTAAAAAGAAATTTCCATTACTCTGCCTTAAAACAGATAAAAATTATGAATGGCTGGAAAGTTTTTCATATAAATTTTTAATTCATAAAATTGCGTATATAATGAGTTTACAAATAAATTGTGATTTCTCACAAAATTTGATCTTTAAGTTATATCACTTTGAATGTTTATTTATGTCAAAAAATATGATTCACAGCTACTTACAGTATATAAGAATATTACTTTTAATCTCTGTAATCTTAAAGAAATACAGAAAATGCAAATAAGACTCATCCATAGAGTATGTCAAGGATACTTACTGGAATTCTCACAGAACTCATTGGTGGGACAATTCCATTTTTCTGGGGACACCTGTAGACACAGTCTATCCTGGAAATACTGCTGGCAGGCTGCTGTACTGAGAATGGAGCATTTACCTGAAATACATTTACTTAATACATGTATGTATTCAGAGTAATGCCTGCCTGGTAACACTGCTGGCAGGCTGCAACAATGAGAACGAGGAACTGATCCACAAACAATTTACTACATGTCACTGTTTCTATATGCACAAATAATCAAACCTTTCAATATGCATCTAATTTATACATATGAAGTAGACATGAACAGCTTTGAAATCAAGGCTAACTTGTTTGGTTAAAAAATGTGAATAGCCAAATGTTTCTTAGTGGAATGGTTGATTAAACAGTGATCAGTCTGTAAGAGCTGATCAAACGTTAAATACTTACGGGTGACAAGTTATGCAGCTCCACAAATTTCTCCACGCTTTTGCCCACTGGGATCTCCCCAAAATGTGCCACAGCCTCTTTGTCATCTCTGTTCAGCTCTTCAACTGGTTTACCAACACTGGATACTAACAAATGGGGATATTTCCCTGTGAAAGAAAAACAATCAATCTAAGTAGCAGAAAATGTCCATGTTTTAACATTGAAATACCATCATGATCTTTTTAGGAATGGATTTTCTCCTCCTGAAGTACTTCAATCCTTATCTCATTTAGACTGCATATCCTGATGCTGTACAACTATTGTGCTTAGTTGAAGCAATCATGAAAAAGTTTGAAAACCTCCAATCTCTGAATCGGTATATCTACATAATTTCAAAGATATGCATGAAGGATTTCCAAAATAAATGCATAGAATTATACACAAAACATCTTGTTTAGACAGAAATGTTATCTGCAGCTGACTTCAGAATCATATAAGTTTTTTGCTTACTTCAAGATTTTCCACCAAAAATGGTGACTTCTGCTGACAGTGAATTTTAACTTGAAGGTCAAACAAAAGAATGATCATACCTATGCCATTCAGTTTTAAACCTTGAGCCTCCGTAAACTCTGCACCATATTTGCAAACAGCTTCAGCCACATACACTGAGGCACCCTGCAATGAAAAAATATAAACAACCATGTTTGTTATCATGAACCTTTGTGAACACTAGTCACTGAATAAGACCATAGATTAATTATCAGCCATATGCTACACAGTAAAGGTGTGTTATGACACAAATAGAAACTTGGACTGGATTGTTTCATCCACCTATGTACCTGAGCTTTAGAGTTTACTCTAAACCCAAATCCATATTATTAGCATACCCCTAGGCCTGTTATCACAGTCAACTGCAGGAGCTAGCTGATTAAGAAAAAGGTTCTAGTAAACTCTAAAACTCAGGGCGAAACTAATGTTTACATCCAGAACACTTAGCCAGGTAAAATATAATGCAATCTAGTTTTATCTACCTATTCTTACCTTTGGTTTAAATGTGGCTGTCAAGACACAAGAAGTAAAGGGTTCTAAAGCTCCCTCACTTGGTTCAATGATGAAAGGATCTTCAACTTCCCATTGGAATGGTGTAAATAGCTCACTGAAAATAAAACAAGTCACCTGGATACATTATAGCACTTTTCAATATCGTAAGTCATTCACTGCATTTCATAAACACATTACAAATGAAATACCCTATAACTCCACAACAAATACTCATTCCAGGTTCAATAAAATAGAAACACTCACTTTACTAATTTCTATCATAAAAATGTACAACTGTTACCTTGTGTTTTTTAGCTCAAAAGTAAGTTGTATTTGATCTTCCACTGCACACATCTGAAAATTAAGCAGTTCTGGCAAAGCAATCTCAAACTTAGGCAGAACAGCCTTGATAGGGACTTCAAAGTTCCCCTCCTGAAATAAAAGTAAAAAAAAAATTAATTCAATTCAAATAAATTTAAAAAAAAAAAAAAACAACAACATTTTAATCATGACACACATTCTTTAAAAAGTAAGCAATTTTTCAAAAATATTTTATGGTGTTTTAGAGATTATACCCATCTGACTATACTTACAGTGCACTCAAATTCAATTTTATCTTCATATTCATTTTTCTCCAAAGGTCTAAATGTAACAGGCAATGTAAAACTGGTTCCTGCACTGAGAACAATAGGTTTGGGATACAATGTGGAAAAGAATCTGGTAGATGGCGCACTGAAAAACAGATAGATTTAAATCATAAAACTGTCATCTCAAATATTATATGTTTTATAAATTATATTTTCTTGTGGTCTTTTTTTCCTTCCACATAAAGCAAAATTTGATATGTTCTTACATAATTTACCTCACAAAATCAATTTATTTATATCAATAGTAAATGAAATGGCACAGTTTTGTAAATACAATGAATCTGGAAATAAAAAGATAATTGTATTTCATGTCCTATAATACTAAATATTTGAATTGTATAAATGGTATTTACCTGTACTTTAGCTTTTGTGTTTTCACTTTGACATTCTTCAGAGTAATATTTTTAGTATATTCTCGACCAGGTTCCCAACCTTGCCACACCACTCCAGGCACTACTTCAATTCCATTGTAATTAGCTTTGCCAGAATTTTGAGTAAATAATGGCTGCTTTGTTCTGAAATATCATGAGTGTNCAAAGATATGCATGAAGGATTTCCAAAATAAATGCATAGAATTATACACAAAACATCTTGTTTAGACAGAAATGTTATCTGCAGCTGACTTCAGAATCATATAAGTTTTTTGCTTACTTCAAGATTTTCCACCAAAAATGGTGACTTCTGCTGACAGTGAATTTTAACTTGAAGGTCAAACAAAAGAATGATCATACCTATGCCATTCAGTTTTAAACCTTGAGCCTCCGTAAACTCTGCACCATATTTGCAAACAGCTTCAGCCACATACACTGAGGCACCCTGCAATGAAAAAATATAAACAACCATGTTTGTTATCATGAACCTTTGTGAACACTAGTCACTGAATAAGACCATAGATTAATTATCAGCCATATGCTACACAGTAAAGGTGTGTTATGACACAAATAGAAACTTGGACTGGATTGTTTCATCCACCTATGTACCTGAGCTTTAGAGTTTACTCTAAACCCAAATCCATATTATTAGCATACCCCTAGGCCTGTCATCACAGTCAACTGCAGGAGCTAGCTGATTAAGAAAAAGGTTCTAGTAAACTCTAAAACTCAGGGCGAAACTAATGTTTACATCCAGAACACTTAGCCAGGTAAAATATAATGCAATCTAGTTTTATCTACCTATTCTTACCTTTGGTTTAAATGTGGCTGTCAAGACACAAGAAGTAAAGGGTTCTAAAGCTCCCTCACTTGGTTCAATGATGAAAGGATCTTCAACTTCCCATTGGAATGGTGTAAATAGCTCACTGAAAATAAAACAAGTCACCTGGATACATTATAGCACTTTTCAATATCGTAAGTCATTCACTGCATTTCATAAACACATTACAAATGAAATACCCTATAACTCCACAACAAATACTCATTCCAGGTTCAATAAAATAGAAACACTCACTTTACTAATTTCTATCATAAAAAATGTACAACTGTTACCTTGTGTTTTTTAGCTCAAAAGTAAGTTGTATTTGATCTTCCACTGCACACATCTGAAAATTAAGCAGTTCTGGCAAAGCAATCTCAAACTTAGGCAGAACAGCCTTGATAGGGACTTCAAAGTTCCCCTCCTGAAATAAAAGTAAAAAAAAATTAATTCAATTCAAATAAATTAAAAAAAACAACATTTTAATCATGACACACATTCTTTAAAAAGTAAGCAATTTTTCAAAAATATTTTATGGTGTTTTAGAGATTATACCCATCTGACTATACTTACAGTGCACTCAAATTCAATTTTATCTTCATATTCATTTTTCTCCAAAGGTCTAAATGTAACAGGCAATGTAAAACTGGTTCCTGCACTGAGAACAATAGGTTTGGGATACAATGTGGAAAAGAATCTGGTAGATGGCGCACTGAAAAACAGATAGATTTAAATCATAAAACTGTCATCTCAAATATTATATGTTTTATAAATTATATTTTCTTGTGGTCTTTTTTTCCTTCCACATAAAGCAAAATTTGATATGTTCTTACATAATTTACCTCACAAAATCAATTTATTTATATCAATAGTAAATGAAATGGCACAGTTTTGTAAATACAATGAATCTGGAAATAAAAAGACAATTTATTTCATGTCCTATAATACTAAATATTTGAATTGTATAAATGGTATTTACCTGTACTTTAGCTTTTGTGTTTTCACTTTGACATTCTTCAGAGTAATATTTTTAGTATATTCTCGACCAGGTTCCCAACCTTGCCACACCACTCCAGGCACTACTTCAATTCCATTGTAATTAGCTTTGCCAGAATTTTGAGTAAATAATGGCTGCTTTGTTCTGAAATATCATGAGTGTATTTAAATTAAAATACTGTTTGGTAATACATTGACAGTATTACCAAATACTGTGTAAGTTAGAATCACCAAAAAAGAAAAAAGAAAATTTAATGAACTCAAAAATTAGTTTTGATATTGCTAAGTACCTAAATAATTTTCATCAGTATCATAAAGGGGCAATTCTAAGGAAATTGGTGGTCCAGAAGTAAAATGCATTTGTGATATGTATTTATCATACAAGAACCTCAAACTATATATTTTCACTTTACATGCTACAGACAAGGACGTTCACATAAACATAAATCTAAAAATAAGTCACAACTTTTTGATAAATTTAAAACCACCTAAGACTGTTAATGATTGTTTCAGTGAATTCAGCAATACTGTATCCATAAGTGAACTTGGTTTCACTTTGAAAAGTGGTACAAATTTTACATATTTCAACAGTGAATTACATCTGAAATAAAGGGAAACAAGGAGCTATAGACCTTTTACCTGGAACCAATTTTGGTGTACTTTTTTCATTTGCTTGGAGAAGGATTTCATTTGAAATCAAGATATGTTGCTGCTATTTTTGTTGTAAAATATTTAAGATGTATGGTTTTGTTAAGAAATGTGTCACTTCAGTATGCCGTAATTGATGAACAAACCCAGCTGAGGTAGTTAGAAGTAAAATGTTTCAGTGATTCAAAATTAAGCACTGTTGCAGCATTTTATACATGTAGCTTTTAGTTTAACAATAAGCTGAACAATTAAGTTACTCATTATAATATGTTAGGGCTAGGTTTTAGTATGATGAATAAATGCCATAAAGACATTAAGCTATAAATTATTTGTTATGTTATATATTTTTAATTCTTTATTTCAAATGCTCTTTATGATTTCAGCAAACACAATGCACTGAATCTGGTGTTGTCTAAAAGTTGCCAGTCTTTTTTTCACGGTAAACAGAATGCTAATAGTAGTACTTTTGCATTCAATTGTGTGGCTGATAGATCCGATTCCAGTGACTTGTGATTAACAAATTAAAAGTGATAAATATGTTATAGTATTTTCTGCTATATCTTACCAGAATCAATTATGTACATGCATATATAACTTTGCTTTTTAAGCTTACTGGTACTGTAGCTGTCCACTTAAAAATAAAAATGCTAACTGAAGAGATTGAAGCACTTTTCCGAAAGAAGAATAGCACAAAATATTAGAAACATCTTTTTCTTTAAAATCTGTCTCAGGTATAAAATTACGTGCAAAGATATTTCATTTCGCATTTTAAAGGGGAAAAACGATGCCTGCACTGTTGCAGTCAAGTCAGTAAAATCCAGTCTCAAAACTCTCAAGATAGCATACGTGCTTATACTTTGAAAATTTCAATCAAAAATACCTGAGACAAGTGCTCATCATCATCTTGGCGTATCCTGTATTTCACTTTAATCAAAAATGGTCCATGTATCATAAAACAGCATTATTTTCTTCGAAAGTTTGGTAAAAGCCGCCATCATGAAAACAAAAATGGCGCTGTTGCTATGAGATAAATCCCATCATGCAATTTTAGTATATTTCTGTTATTTAGAACAGAAACCTTTTCAATATTTCGTTGCGGAGTATTTTTTGTTTTTAGTTCAAATAAGTAAAACTATCTTAATTATAAAAATATACTAATAACAGTACTCCGTGATTACTCGAGAAAGTTCGTCTGCAGCATGGTGGATGTTGACGTTTCATTTGTGTGTAACTGCGTGGTAAGTGCAAATAAATTGGTGTTTCTAAACATCTCCACCTGCAGGATAAGTGACGCCTCATGGCTAAAAATGGCGTTCCGTGATTATTTACGATCCGTTGACTATCCTGGTGCTTGAATTAGGTAATACATTTGTCTGCAGAGCAGTATGTGGCCTGTGACTTGAGAGCGACCCTGGGCTGGCGATTTGTGCCATGATTTAACGAACGGCTAGTTTAAATGTTAAATGGCATAAAACTGTCTTGGATATCGAGTAATGCATTCTTACACGCTATCAAATTGGTACGTAGCTTTGCTGCTGCAGGTTGCTGAATTTATTGTGATTCTCTGTGTACACTAACGTGACAGAAAACCAAACGTTATTACTTGCCCGAGTTGCGTCAACAACATATTTAAATGTTCCACTATTTGCCTAGGGTTAACCCCTAAACCGGAACTACGTTGTTTATGTAGGTGAGTCTTAGAAGATCTTAGAAATCTGCTCAAAACAGTATGTGCTCAGAGGAACTACATATCTCGGCTATTTTTGTCCCAAATGTGCTCATTAAATATGGTCCATATGCTGAGCTATTGAATGCCCTGATTAAAATGTATATTGAAGCTAACTAAATGCATGATATTATTGGGTAGTTGTTACAATAGTAGTATTTTCTATACACATGTAATTCTCAATTTTATAAGGAGTCGGTCTGAGATAATTGTGGATGAAAATAAATTAACTGAAACCCTATAAACCTGTTAAATCCGTGAGAAATGAGTAATTAGAAAGGATAGCAGTGGTACACATGAATTGTTATAATTTCAACTTAAAGAGAATTTTAAAAACCGTTTATTTAAAAAATATTATGATTAACTTACTTGCATGGCTATAGCTTATTTCCTTTTTATTAGTTCTGAATTAATTTTTGTAGTTTTAGGTTTTATGTATTTGTAAACAGTGCTGAGACACGTATAGCGTGGTTTTAAGGCATTTTTTTTTTTTCAGTTTTGAGGTTACCAGATGACCCTCACACAGCAGAATGAAGATCCTGACACATCAGACATCCTCTGTGTGGGCACGGCGTATGCGCTGTCTGCAGCTTATAAGTTCAGACACTGCAGAAAATAAGGCAGCCTTATTTCCGACTCCAGGCAGAGCTATGTTGTGGAGAGATAAGCTTAATAGATTGAGACAAGTCAGACCTTACAGTATCAAGTAAGACATTTATTTTGGCTCTACTTATCTTTCCTAATTCAGACATTGAAAATGATAAAACCCCTCAACTTAAAATACTAGATGTTGGTATTCTTTCCGATATGTCAAGAATTATATGTAAATATTGTGACATTAGAACAGAAGTGTACTTCATTAGCTGTTTAATTCATTCTAATTAAATCAATACCTTAAATAAAATTTTATAATTGTATCAGTTAAGCTGTTTTATTTTATGACATTAGCTACCTAGTACTTTTTCCACAATTTTCCTGTCATGGTGTTGATTGTCACGGTTTAAAGGAAAATTACAAATAGCCTGAAATAAGTAATACAAAATGTTGCCAATTTTTACTGTTGTCTGTTGACTTCGATCTTATACTTCGATCATCATCCATTGTTTGATCTTATTATAGATGCAATAGCCCAGATGGAGAAATGAAGGAAGAATATGTTTCACATATAATTCAGCCTAATAAATATGCCACCATGCAGGTGAACATGATGAACAGAGCTCCTCAAGATCTGAAAAGGTTTCTTGAAAAGGTATGAAATGATAATCAAATTGAGAATATGCATTCTCATTTCATTTCTCATTTTTCAAATCCTTTGATAGAGGCATATTACATTTCAAAGCTAAAATTATTATTAACCACCATAAACAGAGGTCAAATGTCAAGGTCGTGACCTCTGAAAATGGGTATAGCAGCATCTGCATAAAGATGACCAGTGCACAGGATATATTTATTATTAGCTGTTTTATAGCCAAATGGCAGCTGTTTTAATGGAATGTGTGAGAGATAAATAGGTATGAATTACTTAACTGATAAAATTATTATTTATTTATTTATTTATTTATTTATTTCGTTACATAGGTTGGCACAGATGCAAAGCAAGCGCGCTACTGGCTGAAAGAATTCCAGAGACAGTCGGATCCTCACAGTCCTTTTGCTGTGATCCAGATAGAGGAGTCTATATTTTCTGAGTCTGAACTGGTAAATATCAACTCTTGCATGTAGTTTTTTGGGTAAGAGTACAGGTAAATCTTGTACATTTTCTCCATAGGTTATAAACATTTTACTTCAGATAAAGAAAATGAAGTTTATGGTTTATCAGTTTGTCAGTGAGCTACATAAAGATTTTCTGAATAACCCTACTTATAAATTAAAACCACATGCATGAGTAAAGTCCTTTTTCTATCACTTACACATTGCCTTGTTATATTTATTTTACATTTGTCAGAGAAACTTATTTGCAGTATTTTATATATACATATTTTGAATTTTTGACTGTGTGTCATAGCTCATGTTGTATTTTCCAAATTGATGTTAGTTTGAAGGCAATTTTTTGTACAATTTTGCAGTTAGAAAGTCTGGCTTCATCACTGTCATTCCTCCATCGCAATGATATGAAAGTGGTCTTAGTCCATGGAAGCAGTCTGTCAGATAGCCTGGGGAGTAGTTCACTGGAAGCACTACAGGTGTGTAGAAATAATGTTTATAAGTTTTACATTACATTAAAGATTATTGACCAATTTCAGGTGTATTTTTGCCCTGGGAAAAAGTGTATAGACATAAAAGGGATTCAAAAATATAAGATAAAATAATTAAGACTTACTGGGTGTGTTTAGATCACTACCTCTTTCCGAGTCTTATTGGCATAATCATAATATGTTAATTTTTACAGAAACACCGAGCACAGCTCAGCTCAAATTCCATGCTACTTGCAAGTTGTTTAGAATCTCACGGAGCACCCAGCCGCCCTCTATTCGTAGGGACAAATGTGCTGCAGGCACAGATGGAAGGGTATTTTATTAGATTCTTAGTATTAGTATTTTATTAGATTCTTAGTATTAGTTCACCGATGTTTATAGGTGTTTATTCATTATCAATAAGTCAGTAGACAAAAGATCTACACATTTTGAGTACTGTCATGTTGGCAACTCTAGGTTGTCATAAACTAGGTGAGCGTTTATATGTGCATTTACATTCACTATGTTGTTTTGATATCAAGTAATTTTTGAGATCTGTAAAATGAAAACTACTCTCCAACATAAAATAAAGTTAAAAGTTTTGGAGTTTGCTTTACTGGCATTCCTCCATTATAACATTGTCAACAGCGGTTACTTTGCTTGTTGTTGCAGTACAATGCACAGTTCCATTCAGAAGGTGGAAAAAGGTCCTATAAGCTGGTGCTTTCAGTCAGGTCACATTCCCATCTTGCTGTCTGTGGGGGAAACACAAAGTGGACAGATTGTGCCTCTAGATCTGACCCACACCACTGAGCAACTGAGCTTGGCCTTAAAACCATTCAAAGTGATGTTGCTCAACTCCACTGGGGGATTTTACAATGAAAATGGAGAGGTAAAGAATGCAAGGAGAGATCAGAATGATTATCTTATTATTATTATTATTATTATTATTATTATTATTATTATTATTTATTTTATTTTTTTTTTAACAACTCCATCATCTTCTGACCAGACACTGATGGACCATAAAAGATTTTTGAAGTAAAAAAGGTTTTAATTTTTCACAATATTTCTTTCAAAATTATGAATGAAGACTTAAATATTTTTGGTTGTGCTGTAAGAAGGCATTACATCAATATTTAATCAGGTTTATTTGATGCATAATATATATTTAAATTGTCAGCGATATCTTTAGCTGTCTTTAATGTACAGACTCACTTTGAAAGTCATTTTTTCTTCAGGAATTTAAAACTCTGGTTCAGTGATTATTACGATAGATAATGTGTGTTTGTTGCAAAATCCAGGTTATCCCAAATGTGAACCTCCCCCTTGATTTAGAAACCTGTAATTCTAAACCCTGGTGTGACATAAGGAAGGTAAGTACTGTAGCTACAATGTTTAATATTACATTTCTTTAAGAACCTTGGTATCATTGTAGATTTATAAAATGTTAGGTGTACAAATTGTGCATATTCAAAATAAATATTAGCTTAGTATGTTTATTGCACACATTAATAAAAAAATTATGACTTGTCTTTAATTTGTTGTAGGTTCAACAAATTTCATCTTTGTTGCACTCCCTGCCAGCTCAAAGTTCTGTGGTGATAACCTCTGCGGGCGCAATACTTACAGAACTTTTCACACATCAAGGTATGGATAGTAGGATTTGGTACTCATTTATATAGAAAAAATATGTGTAGAATTTCGGATAATGTGTTATTCAAGTCAGTCTGGTTTTATTAGGTACAGGTGACAGTTTGCAGAGTTGAGATACTAATCCATGTCTCCAAAGAATGAAGCCTTTGTGGTTTGGCAACTCTCTACTTATTTTATCATTATTATTATTATTTTTTTTTTTTGTATTTTTTTTCATTCTAATTTGGAAGTAACATTTAAGAGAGAAATCATTTATCTCTGTTTTTTCTCCAGGTTTTGGCACCCTTTTTAAGATCACAGAACCAATCCACATGCACACCAGTTTTGATGAAGTGGACCGTGAGAGACTACTGGCTTTGTTTAACAGGTTGAACCACTCATTACTTTATTTGTAAATTTGTATAATCCGCTGTGCTGTGATATTGAAAATTAGAACAAATAGTACTTTTGATGTACATGAACTGATAATATTTTTTTGTACTGATAAAGACATGCCTTGAGATGAGATCACCTGGTAATACCTGTGCTTATGATAATGCTAAACTTCTCTTTATTTCCCTGCAGGTCATTTGGTAAAGATCTCAATGAAAACTATTTCAACTTTATTGAGAAGAGATTGAATACTCTGTATTTATCTGAGAAGTGAGTTCCTATAGAAAATCTTTGAATTTTCTTTGTTTTGTTTTGGTCATCTTCAGACATTTATTTAAATTGATTGAATTAAAATGTAACTAGCATGTCATATGGTATGTCCACTCCATGGAGGTATTAGGCTTCGTTCACATGCAATGTCTATTTTCTAAATTCTATTTTCGGCATGTCTTATGATCACGGTCTGTGCACTGAATATCCCGCCGCGTAATTACTGGCAGCGCGAGCCAGTTACTATAAGTTACTATAAGTAGTAGTTTACATCCATTACTGGGAATCCATGCTAGGTTTAAATGTATTTTTAAAGAGCTATTTATACAAATACAAAAGTTCAAATGTAAAGAGTAATATAAGAAAATTTTATTTATCACAGGTATAATGCTGCGGCTGTCATAACCAATGAGTCGGAGGTAAAGGTGCCGTACCTGGATAAGTTTGCTGTCAGTTTACAAAGTCAGGTACATGTACACATAGAAAAGGTTTTATCTTCTATTTAATTTTTACCCAGATTTTTTAATTATAATTTACATCTTGATGTGTTTTACAACTTGATTCATTTTCACTATTGTTATTATTTTTAGTTTAGAGCTAACTTGTTTAATCTGTTGGAGCATAGTTATGAAATAGTTCAGATATTTTCTACAGAGGTGTACCCTGTAATTACTAGTGTTCTATGCAGTGTCGGATATCCTGTTTGAAGATTGCACCTTGCTCTTCTTTTTTTAAACGTAATTTACTTCTTTCAAATCACCAGGGTCAAGGGACAAGTGAAATGCTTTGGGATTGTATACGCAGAGATTTTGATAGTTTGTTTTGGAGATCACGTAGCAAAAACATGATCAACCCATGGTAAGATAATATAAATGAGGACCAGTATAAAGATTGAATATTTTAATACTTTCAGTCTGTAACAAAAGCCACAATTCAGAGGCAGATCCAGAGATATTTTCTGACAGTCTTCAAAATTATCTTTGTTGATCCATCCTCCATTTTTGACCGTCTTCCAACAGAAAAAATAGATACCCATCAATGTAAACGTGAATTCTGACAGTCTTCCGGAAGACCCAGAAGACTGCCGCAATCCGCCCTTGCAATTCTTGCTAATGATAAGTATTCTACTTTACATGGTGTTTGATGTTAAGTAAATTGTTTGAGACCAGAGTTCTGATTTTGAGTAGTTTTTCACTTGTATTGGCCCAGTTTAACAAGTCAGGTTATTAATAACTTTGTACTTCAAACTATGTTCTTTTAATTACTTTTGTCAGGTATTTTAGAAGATCGGAAGGTAGTTGGAGCAATGGAGCTTGGATAGTATTTTGGTAATTGACTTCTTATATTACAGTTACTTTCACTGTGAAAAAAGTATTCAAGGACAAATAGCTTTATTTGAATTGTTTAAATCCACTCTCCTTGTTTGTCTCAGCGCTGTGCAGCAAAAACATACTTTCTATAACAACTAAAATCATAACCTCCTTGGCGGAGGTAATTAGACATATAATGTAAAAAATGATAAAGTAAAATGAAATTTGAAGTATGATTGTATAAAATGTGTGCCTTTATTACTTGTACTTTATATGTCAGGTATGGAATATCAGAGCACAAAATGACATCCTCCTTGATTGACTTTGCATTGTCATTGTCCTCCTCATTTAAGGAAACTGGTGAGTAGACAGTTCCCTCTGAACCCTGATAAACATTAACTATGTACCTAAGTCCTCTGTAGGACTTGAGTTTTGAAAATGAATTTTCTGTTAAATGAGAAAAATGGACTTGTATCATACAAAGTGAGAAAAGGGTTAAGTTTGTTTTAGACTGCTAGTTGCTTTGTTTTGGCAGACATATAAAAAATTATCCTAAGTCAAAGTAAAGCAGTTAATTTCTTTCCTCTTTAAGTAATGACCATTTCCCATAATATGTAGGTAAAATGCATGTATCCTTAGGCATTTTTAGAAAACCCAAGATGGCTGCCATTTGCTTAAAAGATATATAGTGCCCATTATAAAATTAAGTTTGTTTGTCAGTGTTTTTCCCATCCTCATTACCTCTATGATATACTAACATATCTGGCAGGCAACAACTGTATCCTTGGACATTTTGAGAAAATCTAAGATGGTGCCACTTAAATACATGGGTTTTAACTAAGTATTTCTAGGGGAATATAATATGCATTGTCAAATAAAGTGTATTTCTCATTTATTTTTCTTTTCTTCCAGGAACTGGGGAAGACAATACACTTGTAGAATAGTGAGAAAGATAGAAAAGACGCCTTCAGTAACCAGCTTTGAGAGTGTAGTGCATGTTAGATTTGCAGTAACAGATTGTCACCAGTAGCAAACATAAAAATTGTTTGTTTGTCCGAGTTACAGTTTCAAACTCAGATCTTGATAATGTTCCTCTATCACAGCTGAATGACATTAAGAACTAATTTTTTTGTTTTTATTATAATTTTACCAAGTAAGGAATGGAAAGGGACAGATAACTGGGTAAAATCAATTTCAAAATTGTATTTACAGGACTAAACAAACTGCCTTTAAGAATGAGTTTTTATTTTATTTTATATATATATTTTACATCTTCAAATGGGCAATCATGGCAGTCCTCATGATGCCAGTTTCTGAAGGTGACATCTTGAATACAACAGGCCAGTCCCTTTGCAGCTGTATATGTCAGCCTGTCACGATCTCTGTAAACATCACATGGAAGCCAGTTGACAGGTGCTGTAAACTTAACAATACATTTGTTGAATTTCAAATCAACAAACTAATTGTAACATACATAAGTTACACTTGATTTGAAGAAAGAGGTCTTTAGTGGTCATTTTACACATATTTTCATAAAAATGCTAAACAATTTTTTTTTGTAACTTGTAATTATATCACATTTTAGTGATTCTATTGGTTCAGATATGGCAGTTGCAATAAAGTGAAAACTGAGACCAGGAAAGTTTTTATGCAACTTAATTCTAAATGCATAATCTTTTAAACAGATGTTTACATATTAATTGCACATCACATTTGCTTTGTTACCATGGTCGAGATACCATTTGTTGGCAGTTCTCATCACAAAAACTAAGCAAAGCAAAAAGGAAATTTTAGGCAACACCAAGAGTTCCTTAAAGTCTTCTCTGACTTACAAATAATAAATATCCCCAATGCCATACAAAAACTGTAAACTGTTCTATCAAAGCGGTGAAACAGTAGAATGATAATGAATAACAGAATAACATCTGAAAATGTTTTAAAAACTATCCTAATATTACATGAACTTAATGTTGGACTTGATAGGAAAATTCAATGAATGTCTGATTGATGGAATTTTATCCTAAAGTGATCTTTGCCTTAAATCAATTGTTGAAGATGATACCTATTGAACAAATGACTTGAGAATTCTACTTGGTACTGAAGGGTCTAAAAAACATTCTGATTATTGAATACATGACATGATATACAAAACTATGACTGTCACAGCAATAATTTTGTTTCTCTCTAACATACCAAGTGTTTAACTGAATAATCAACCTGAACAATCAACTTGGCTTTAAGTGAGATGTGGGCACCATGATCATGGCTTGTTATCTCCTAAAGAAGTGCAGTTCTGAACAAAGCATTATTAAAAATAATTTCATTGTCTTTTTCACTTTACACATCACAACATAACATGATCAAAATAAATACTTATCTTAATTTCAAAAGGGTCTCTTCTATGATAACCAGTACACCATATATACACATTACCATATCAATAAAGAAATACCACCAAAACTATAAATAAAAATTATATAAAAGTGTTAGTAACCTTGAAGGCCATTGTATACTTTTGTCTTCGATTCTTGTTTGAGAGCATTTTTGATAGCTGAAAGAGAAAAAATAGTTCATTTACATAACAGCCTGCAACATTAACCACTTGCCAGATTACCAATGCCAGTAAAAATTGGATTGGGCAGGTGACATTTCTGAAAAACTGTCAGTTACTGGCTCTGCCAGGCCAGTGGAATTTTTTCACCTGTAATATACACTCCAATTTTTTTATAAATGTACAAGCTAAATGTAGTGTTTTAAAGTACCTTTTGAAAACCCCATGTTTTTGTTTTTATTTATTATAGAAAATTCAATTAGTTAATTTAAGTAATTTTTTTTAATTGGACTTGGTCCAGTAAATTTTGATTCAGGCCAGTAGATTAAAAGACTGGTGGCCCAGATGGTCTTTTAAGTTGAGAAGGATTTGGCTCAGACTGCATAATGGAAAAATGTCAAAGGAGATGTTGTGAAAGATTGATCACAACTGTGACACTCTATCAAATTAATTAGGGGAAAATATTGTTAACACACATACCTTCTTTATCTTCATCTGTAAGTACCACTTTTGGAAATTCCACATCAAACGTTATAAACAAAGTTCCTTTCACGTTGTTGTTTTCATAGTTGGGCATTCCTTCTCCTGCCTTGCGTATCCTAGCACCAGGCCAGGTAATTTTATCTCTGGTCACTTTGACCTAAATGATTAATAATTTTACTTTAATTTTTTAAACTTTTTCACATTATTATTGATCATATGCTTCAAACAAACTTTGCTTCAAATTACATGCCACACTTATCTGTAAAGTACAATTGTCAAAATACCACCACTTTATGGGAAACGATGTTTAAAGAATACAATTTGTGCCAAGGTGAGTTTGCTTTCATGGGGTCTGATATGCTGAATTTAAATTTTGTCATTTAACTTAATGCCTATACAACTCGCTACCTAAATACTTGCAGGATCTTGGTGTCATTTTACCATTTGATGTAGGGAACGCACCACAGTCATTGTTAAGTACTAAAACATCAGGGGCGGATCCAGAGATATTTTCTGACAGTCTTCCAAATTATCTTTGTTGATCCATCTTCCATTTTTGACCGTCTTCCGACAGAAAACATTAGATGGCTGACAATGTAAACTTGAAAATCTGACCGTCTTCCAGTAGACGGCCTAAATCCACCCCTGAACATTGTATCAAAGTAACTGTAATTTGCCAGACAGATACCAATGAGAAAAGTGAACTGAATTTGTAGATTTAAATACCTTATGACCATCCAAGTGTTTAATCTCCATTTCAAAGCCATTGAGAGCATCCACTAGTGTTATAGTGACATTAGTATAGAGGTCGTCCCCGCGACGCTCAAATTTTTTATGTCTGGAAAAAGTAATGAATAATCTGTATAAATTTGCATCATATTAAAATTGGAATTTAGCAGTTTTCCAATGTTTTGTGATAATGATCAATTAAACAAAACAAAGTGAAAAGCATATGATGAACAATCATGAAAGTATTTCCTGTTAAATACAACTCTGACTAAATTCAACACGTGCATGAAGCCTATGCCAGTATATAAATGCCTGTTAACTCTAAAAAATATGCAAATGTGGAAATTGGAATATTAAAATTTCGTACTTTAGTTGGTTTATCTTAAATCTCAAATCCCCCGGTTCCCCATCTATGTGTGGTTCTCCTTCTGCCACAAAGGGGTACTCTTGTCCATTCCTCATGCCCGGTTCAATTTCAATTTCTAATAATTTTTCTTCTGGGACAAATCTAAAAAAGAAAAGGCAAATATTTAGGACTGTTGAGATTATTTTAAATTGTAATTTTATTGGTCTTGAAAAGTTGCTTGCTTCTTGAAATTGTTTATTCCATCAATTTACATTTTATTTAAATTTATACAATAAACATTGTTTAAAGTCTATTTAGCACTCACTTTACGTTAGGGCAATCATCACAGACTTGTTCTTGTGACATCTGGAACCTCCCTGGACCAAGCTGCACTGTCCTCATTTCGTGACGACAGTTACATTTTCTTGTTCCTTGGGCAGGTTTGGCAACTGGTTTGTATCTTATTACCTGTCAAATGAAAAGGTGGTCAGATTAACAGAGGTCAAATGAAGTCAAACAGCACAGAAGTGTGCCCGTTTAGCACATCAGTGCACCTCCACTTGGAGACTGAAATTTCAAACATTTCTTCAATGATTTATTTTTTTCACACATTCAACTGGTATAGCATGAATAATACTGAGTATTTCAACATGCGGTTTTCAAAAAAATATTAATTACGTCTGATGTGTCTACAAGTGATGGAAAAAAATTCTAAACTTGCCTCTACAAAATTTCCTGTGTATAATTCCTCTAAAGTGACATCCAAATTAACAACAACATCTCCACCTCTCGGCGTTTCTGACTCATGCTGCTTCATGTTACCTCCAAAAAAGCTGAAGTCGCCAAAGAAACTACAAAAAAGAAAAGAAAATATCAGTGTGTGTACATAAAATGATCATCACTTCAATAAATAATATTATTGTCTTCGTACACCCCTCATATTTGAAAGTCAAATCATTTGAAGCAATGCATACAAAATATACTGCACTGTAAAAAGCATGTGATTTAAAAATTCAAATTAAAACAAATTTAACTCCATGAAAGCAGTTTGACAAGGACAATGTACATGTAGTACCTAGAAAATGGATCACCACCCATGTCTTGCTTGTTTAATCCTTCCTCTCCATGCCTGTCATATATTTTTCTTTTATCAGGATCAGATAAAACCTGCAAAAGATGTCAGTTTATTCTAATTAATTTTCTCATTCCTGAAATAAATTATGACAGAAATATAACAACTTGTAAAACAAACTGCTTTGTTACATATGTGAACCCTTGTTTGTTTCATTCACAGTTACATTTTTCATTTATATTCTGATATACAAAAGTCATGTACATTCTCTATATTTAGATTTTGTTCTGACATATACCTCATATGCTGCTCCTAAATTTTGAAATTTTTCATTAGCTTCTGCATCCCCTTTGTTTTTATCTGGATGCATTTCTTTAGCCAGGCGCCTGTATGCTCTTTTGATCTGATTAGTGTCTGCATTTCTTGGTACACCAAGAATATTATAGAAGTCTCTCCTGAAATTAATATGTCACATAGACAATGTAAATATGACACTTTTTTTCTACAGTGACTGAGTTATTGCATAGTTATTATGATTGTTTTGTAGACCAAATAGTCATAGTCTTGCATTTCCATTTATCTTAAAATATGAATTTATATGGCAAGTTTTGCTGCTAACAAAAATCACACATCAAACCCAAACCCACTTACTTTTAATTTTTACCATGTCTATACATTATGTAAGGAGCCTAAATTGTAATGCTTGTTCCCTTAACGTATGTTCTGGGCCATAAAATTTTAATTTTTGTATCGCGTTTCGATAAATTTTGTATTTATTCAGTCATGGTAAATTATATATAACATAAGGATGTTTTTAAACTGTAACTCGAGGGGCTTTGCGTTGTTGCTAATACTACATGATGTGTTCCCCAGAAAAATTGTCAGAAAGTGTCATCTTGCCCAAGTACTTGGTGCACTGGGAAATTGCTGTCTGGAAAATACATTGTGATTCCATGATTTTTTTTATATTTCTGATATAATATTTGGACCACAGTCCACTGATGGAAAATAGTTTATTAAAATGGTTATATTACTGTCAGTAGAATGTATTTTTCTGTTCTTACAATATTCAGTGACAGGCAAACTAGAGTCATTGAAAAAAAAAATTAACTGGTCTACACAGAATATTATCATAATTTTACAATGTTATACTTGTAGGAGATAAATTAAAGAACAAAACTGGTGATTATTGAATTTTCAAAGTGAGTAAAACCTTTCCACAGCTGGATGTTTTGCATCTGTGACAGTAATGCATGACAATTTCTTTTTGGGATTAAATGATGAATTTTTTTTATTATTCATAGTTTCAGGAGAGTGAAACATTGATACAAAATACAATCAACATAGTTTGTAATCTGTGCACAAATCATTTTTAAAGCATGCCTGTGAACTCATTTGCACCTCTGTAATTGGGTTTGGGTGATCAATGAACAGCTTTAACCAGATCTTATTTCACAATAACATAAGTAGGAAAACTACAGAGTACAGTTATCCAGACAAGTTTTTTTTAGGAATTTATTCGTGAATTAAACCAAAGGGCCAAAAGGAAATGACTTTCTTAACACAGCTACCTGTATTATTAAGAAGTTAAGAAAATCATGTAAAATGTGTGCAATGCAATGCAACGAAGCTTATTTCATGTCGGAAGGTTTGTGCAATATAGAGTAAAATTGTCTGAGTGATACCGTCAGGACAATTATCCCGATATTGCCAACAACTATCAATAAGCACAGTGCATCCGTCAAAACAACAACACATGTCTACGTCCTGTTCAGTAAAATGGTCCAATCATAGTCATCCACGTTTTTGTCTGCAGACTTTTCATCTAAGAAACGTCAAATTGTGTGTTAAAACCACATGTTATAACGTGAAGTGAAACTAAATAAAGAGGAAAAACTCTAACCGAAAAATCAAAATAATTCTAACGCCGATAATCAGATTTACCAAAGTCTACTTACCCCCCTAAAACTTGAACTAGCAGCAGAAAAAAGTTTGCCAAAAAGATCCACCGGTTCATGGGGGTCGCCATATTGGTATCTGCCACGCCAGAAAAGTGCATTGTGGGGGACTCTTTTTAGATGTACAAATTGTGTCATAAAAATTATAAACATTTTCTCATTTTGTCATCAATTTGAGTATAATATCTTATCAGCAGACTTATTTGGGGTATAATTAATATAATATTAAGGAGAAAATCGTAGAATCTCGTGCACGTGCGAGGTGCTTCCTATTATACACATTAGTTGTTTCCTGTTGAAGAAGGTAGGTTGGTGGAAATACTTAAAGTGCTTATTATGATGTAAGACAGTAAGAGTGTGAACAAAATCATTGAAGACATTTGACTTAATCAGATCTACAAGTACCTGGTCTGGCCTTCTCTACCATGGTCTAGCAAAACAAAAATTTCTATTTCAAAACGCTACTCTTACACAAATTACTCTGGCACAACATTTCAAAAGCTTTGTTTCCCCGCCACTTACAAGTTGAACTTCCAAGTTCAGTCAGTTTCTTCGTGCGTCCTTACTCGTCCTGAATTATCTGCCATTGCATACATTATTTTACAATTTACAAACCAAGGCTGTGAGTTTATCAAAGTTAAATTTGCTGTCATCTTGATCGTATATAAAAATAATAATTAAAGTAGTAGTATTGTGCCTGGTGCAATTGCCCATATTTGTGGCATTTCATCTTTCAATAAGACAGAGTAAAAAATTCCTTATGTCTCTCTGAGAAAATAACTTTAAATCACATTGACAGGTACACGTATGTTCACACAAACAGAGAGGGTAGGCTGTGGCTTCACCTTTGGAAGAGATCTATATATACCTTTCACTCTCCCTTCTAACAGTTCTATGTTTGAAAATATAATTGTGATGATATCTTACCCTTTATGGAAGTTTACTCCTGTTGCCAGGCCAGTTTTTATGGCTTATAAGAGCTAACATATAAAATTCAATGAAAATGTCAAAATTACTGTGTAAGACATCTCTGTTCATTTTTTTTTTCAGGAGAATTGCCTAAAAATGGCAGAAGAAAACTCAACTGATTCCACAGGATTTCAAAAGTCATTTAAGACAGGGTCTGTACTCTCCAGTGAAGAATCTCCAAATTCATATGTATCTTCTCCAGTGATGTCAGGACCACAAACAAGAACATCATTTATTTCACATTCTTATTTAGACTCCAAGCAGACTCGCAGGAGTTCAACCAGATCAATCAAAAGGAAGAAATTTGATGATGAACTTGTTGAAAGTAGCCTTATAAAATCAGACAGAGGAAGGTTGAAACCTCCTGATCCTAAGCCGGAGTCTCAGCCCCTGGAACCGGCACCAGCTCCTGTTCTACCTCCACAAGAGAAGAAAAAGGTAGAACAATGTGCTTCACTGGGTTGCCTGCTCCCTTTCAGTTAGAACTCTCATCTGACTCCACCAGTATGGAGAATTCTCTTAGAAATAAGCTGATGAATAGTAGTTCTTAAATGCAGCCATACACACACACAGGCAAACTACTATTAGTTGCCCCTTGCTTTACTGTTCTGTCCTGCTGAGGCTGCTGTATTCTGTATATTTGTGCTTCTGCCTGAGCTTAAGACTGGGTTGCCATACCTAGATCGATCCATCTGGATCGGTCTAACTCCATGGGGAGTCTCACTAAATTGCTATCAACTTGCCTGGCTTTAATGTCTGTCACGCCTACTGCATCAGCTAAGGGGCAAAGATAATTATCCCCCTAACAGCTTTACTAGGCGTGACATACATTTTAGCTGGTTAAGTTGATAGCAGTTTAGTGAGATTCCCCAGGGAGATAGATCGATCCAAATATCTGTGGGAATGGCCCCTAAGTCTCACATTCCTTGCTTAATTTTTTCATTCTCACATTTTACCATTAATGGTAAAAGTAGGCAAAACACCTGGTTATTGATTTTGGAGGAAAATATGTTCTATCTTAAAGACAAAAAATCTGTCAGAAATTATATTGTCTTAGTTTCAGTTGGATGATGATGTGTGTATATTTGATGTTGGTGAACTCATTATGAGGCCCTTGAACTTGCTTCAAATTAATTTTTGAACCATAAGCAAACTGAATGACATCAAAATATTATTCAGTATCAAACATCTGGTCTGTGCCTTAGTTAAGATTTTCTTTGATGAGGTTAAGATAGAAATTGAAATAATTGACCAGATGATTGCACTTAAAGAGCAGTGTCAAACTGTAGAGGTCCATTTCACATATCGCTCATTTCCTAAATCGAGATTTCCTGACTTACAATCCAAGTTTAAAGAGACTAAAACAAAACTTATGCTTAGTTTAACATTATTTTTACCTTAAGAATTTTTAGTATATTATATCAAAGGGTAATTGGAAACAGTAAAGTTTTATTGATATACAAGTCACACATTCCTTTTTTAGCCTTCCAAATCTGCCTCAACCAAAAGGACCAAAAAGTCAAAGGTATGTTATCTCTGTCACTGAGGAACATAAGGTGAATTAAAACACAATTTGTAATTTTATTGCTTGTATTGATTTATAACTTTTAGTTATAAAAGTAATATATTATTGAAATAAGCATCTATATTTCGCAATTTGCATTATATAGTACACATCTAAAGACATATCAAATTTAATAAATTGCTGTATATTGTAATTATTAACAGCAACCAGCAACAGGAAGTTCTGCCAAAGACCTAGGAAGATGGAAGCCACAAGATGACTTGGCTCTGATTACTGCAGTTCAGCAGGTGAGACGGGGGTCAGACACCTGACTATTCTTCTTGGTTAAAGGGAAAATGATAAAGGGTGTGTGTATAATTAAATTGTTGTTTACTTATACCATTGAGCATTTGAAGTGTGAGATTTATTAGTAATTAGACATCCCAAAAAATATGTACTTACATTATTTCTCATTATTTTAGACCTGTGATCTTCAGTCAGTTCATTTGGGAGTGAAATTTTCTTGCAAGTTCACTTTAAAAGAAATTCAAGAAAGATGGTATGCTATTTTATACGATCCTGTGATATCAAAGTAAGTGCTCCTCTTTTTTTTTTTTTAATTTATACCGCTAGTTATAAGGCATGAGGGCAACTTTTTGTGTGATATTTAGGCACATTGTCCTCATTAATTTATTGTTTGCAGACAGTTTCAATCAGGTTGTCCTAGCAGTTATGAAGACTAGGATCTTTCATTAGACTGTACATAGTAAGACGTGAAAGTCATAGCATTTTATCTACAGGAATATAATGTATTACCTGAAAACATTGCAACCAAGTAACACCTGCTATGAAGAGCTTGTGCAATGTACTTGCTTACTGAACAATACTAGTGTTTAAGTTTACAACCAAACCCAGGATACCTGCCGTAGTTGCAATGAGAAGTATGTTGATGAATTCTGCCTGTATTCCAGACTAGCCATCAGTGCTATGCAGACACTTCATCCAGATGTGATTGCTGCCGTCCATGCCAAGGCACTTTACAGCAAAGGGGAGGAACAGCTTCTGGGTACAGTGATCTCGGTAAATACACTTTGGGCATATGATCTGAATTATGAGTGCTTATTAAACCTAATAATAAATATGTAAAATTAATTACCATTTAATATTGTGCAAGAGACTGTCAGCTTTTAATTATTCTTTGCCACACCACACTTGCTAGGGCTACCATTATTTCTGAAGTTCTCACCCCAATCTCCTACAAATCGTTCAAAACCTTGCTTGATTTTCCCACTATCATATATCATGGGTATGGTAATAATAGATAAATATTAATCTTGTGCAGTTCTGGTGGGATATATTTTTATGTATATCTTACAGACAAGCCAGCCAAGTCAGGATCACTTTCAAACTCTACTGGAAGAGAACTCAGATGTGTTTTACCCAACCAGGACAGCCAAGTCTCTGTATGGCCATTGGCTGCTCATGAAACAATATCACTTACTCCCAGATCAGTCAGGTAATAATATTGTCATGAGCTGTAATGAAGAATTTTGTCAACTGTTATGAAGATTATCAAGACAAAAGGCATGTGACTATGCAGGATCTGTGTTTACGAGCAAATGGCCTTGAAATACTTTTTTCTCAGCAGGTTCACAATGTGTAGGCAATTTTTTCACTTAATGTAGTCAGTTACCACTGTTTATCTTTCTGGAGTACACAGTGCTTTTAGTTCAACAGTTTTTGCCGACAAATTTTACATTGGCAACAAGATTCTGCATTGAAGACATTTTTTTTTTTGCAGTTCAACCCATGCCTAGGGGAGACCATGTGCTCAATTTCTCTGATGCAGAAGATATGTTAAATGACGATGAACTGAAAGACCCAAGAGATGAAGCTCTAGAATATGGTAAGTAGCATATTGTGCAGAAGACAAAAATATATTTCTAAATTTAGCAAACTTTGAAAATATGCTGTACATTATATTCCCTACATTTGTGTTTCAGAATTGGCAGTTTCAGATAGAAGAAATAAGAAAGAAATACGACATTTAGAGCAAGAATTGCCAAAGTGGCAAGTTTTAGTCGACAGTGTGACTGGTAAGTAAAAGTTTTCTGTTTGCTTTTGAATCTTCTCCTTGTAAGTTGAAACCAAAGTACAGGTCTAATCTGAAATCAATGTATGGTTTAATAAAACAAGTAGGTTGTAAGCTGGGTATAAATTTATTATGCATTAAGGTGTAATTTTTCAAAGATAATGATTCAGGGAAAATAATACAAAGCTTGGTGGCATTTCATTACAGGTGTGAGTCTTCCAGATTTTGATAACCAAACCCTGGCTGTTCTCAGGGGAAGGCTGGTCAGGTACCTCATGAGATCCAGGGAGGTGAGACTTGTATGCAACCAGCAGGAATATAATAACAAACACGTAGTGAAAGTTAAAGCTTTAGAATATGGTCAATTTTTGTGGAAAATACAAGCTTACAGCATTTATAAAATTCATGCATGAGCAGAAATAGAATCATCAGCACTGAGTTATATGCCATAGGTCATTAGTAGGAAATGCATGAAAACTAATAATTTTATACTACCAATTACAGATTACACTCGGTCGAGCTACAAAAGATAATCAGATAGATGTAGATCTTTCACTTGAAGGACCAGCATGGAAGATTTCAAGGCGGCAGGGCATTATTAAACTGAGAAACAATGGAGACTTTTACATAGCCAATGAGGGCAAAAGACCGATTTATATTGATGGCAAGCCAGTCCTAACAGGAAATAAACAAAAACTAAACAATAATTCAGTGGTTGAAGTAAGTAACTTTTTGAGTTTTTGTGCGTAAAAATTATGTAATTATCTTGAAAATAATGAAATTTCAGTTGGATTTTGAGATTTTGCTGTCACTAAATGGAACATTTTATATGCTTCATGAACAGTAACATGATGTAAATATATATGTATTTATTAATGAAAGTGTGACAAAATCATCTCTCTTCTTTTTCAGATATCATGTTTACGTTTTATTTTCTTGGTGAACCATGATCTGATTAGTGTGATAAGAACAGAGGCCCAAAGACTGACTACGTAGCGGAGACCCCATACTACACTACAACTATAACAAAACTACTGATCAGTGTGTTACGGACAGAAGCAAGGAGACGAACTTCATAGTGGAAATAACATACTGTACTACAGCTATAACAAATCCACTGACTTACGTTAGTTTTACGTTGTTCTTCACTCTGATCCTTGAGCTGAAACCCACAGTTTGAATACAGAGAAAAGGCTTGTAATAATATGGAGGACTCCCTGTTTAATCTGTGGACTATCTATTGCTTAATAGAGCCTTTCATCCTCCAAATGTTTACGTGTTTGATAAACGTATGTACAAAATAAAAAAGATTGTATTTTAGGATGTATCTGTATTTATTCAGAAGGTTTCATAATTTTGATATCATACGTACTTTGTATTACATATTGAATGTAGTGATATCAAAGCATCCAAAGAATGGAAATTACAGCAAAATAATAGATAAAGATTTATACAGTTGTCTTTGTGAATCTTGGTCAGTTTTGAGTTTCACATGCATAACTGTTGCCGTCGAGCACCTGGACGTAAGCGATGCTATTCCGATGTTTGTCAGAATATAATATCCAGACCAGAGTTAGTGCGGAGCAATATTATAGAGCCGCTGTTAGGTCATGGAAAGTGAATGCATGGATCGGTTTGAAGGATAAGTGTCCGACTTGCTTCCTGTTGTGCCTATAATGCCTACCTAAAATAATTCAACGTTTTTTTTTTTTACTGCTTTCGATTACATCAACTTAAAGGAACGTTTTTCTCATAAGTACTTGTTCTTAAGTGAAATATTTTGCGATAGAGTTTTCTTGCTGACGGTAATTTACGATGTGTTGGGAAATGTACAAATATTGCTTTTCGACTGAAAACGAAATTCAGAGTTTTGTAGAATGGATTAATTTGCCTGGATGTCCCTGGTCACTCGGAAAATTACATACTAGCGCACTGCATTGCAAGCGTCACACCATACGCGCCCGAATCCAGAAAAATTGTTGAGAACGTAAAACTGGACTTGAAAAAGCAATTTATATCTGCAGTTCTGGGTTATGGAATCGCGCGTTGAATAGAACCGACCTATTCACAAGCTACGAAAAAAGAAATTCTGATAAGATTGTACATTTCTATTGACAGGGGAGATATACGGGAAAATTCAATGGCAGCTCACTTACATGTTGGTTGAGAGGTTGCCGTGCTAACTGAGGTGTCGTTAGCGAAGCAAGATGTCGTATTCTCATTTGCTTGAGGAGGCTACTGGATTTCTACAAAGCATGGAGAAAATAACCGAAGAAAATAGATTGTTGAAAAATGCTAACACAGCTCTTGTTGCAGAGCTTGCGCGACTGAATGCTGTGGACAGATTACTGTGTTTGGAACGTAACACTGAAGAGAAACAAACAGAGAATATGTCGCAGTTTGTTTTGCTTGCTGATATGTCTGTCTTAAAAAGCGATCTTCTGCGCGCAAGAGAGAGTGAAAAGTATTGTCAAAAACTGCTTGCAGAAACTCGGCAAGAAATATCAATCTTTTTACAGCAGTTTGATACTGAGCTGAAGAAAACAAAAATCCTTCAAAATGATACGAAGGAGCGACCCTTGAGCACGAAAGAGTTGTCTGACCGCTTACAGTCCATTGAATTGATTTTAAAGAATTTCAATACGAAAATGGGATTTAATGCTGAAAGCGCTGCTGCAATTGCTTGCTTGCCCTCGGAAAGAAACGACGATGGCGGCCTCCGCGCCAATGCTCCGGCATTTTCACCAGGCGTCTATAATACACTGGAAAGAACTACTGTACAAAACCAAATTGACGAACTTCTCTATAAGGAATCAGAACTGGCCGACCTTCGTGAGGTAAATAGCAATTTGATTTCAGAAATTAACCTGTTACGCGAAGAAAACCGACACCTTGAAGTTTTAAAGGAACAATTACGAGATCTTCATCAAACTCGAAGCAAAATATTAGAGGCAAATCGGAAACTACGATGTACAGTCACCTTGAAAGATATGGAGATAACTAACAGAAAATCGGAGCAGGTAGAGTTACAGAAAAAATTAGAGACTCTTGAAAAACGTTTTCAAATGGCTGAACAGAGACTGGTAAGCTACGAACAATGGATGGACGAAATCTACAGCAAGGATCTTGATAATATCATGAGAGACGGAGGAAGAACACTGCCTGCTATTCATGGAAATATTCCATTTACAACGAAAAACAAACGCGCTGATTTGCGATATAGGAAATACACAAATCAGTATCGTAAATAAAACTCCTAATGAATTGCTTTTGTCTCTTTTTTCTAAGAAAGAATTTCGAAAAGTACCTAAGGCCAATGGAGAGGCAAAGAAAAGGACTCCTAACTGCAAAAAAAGCCAAACTGGCCTCTGGTCTACTATGCATTTTTCTCATTAGATTTTTCTGACACTGACGTACCACTGACCTCCATAAGAGTCCAATGGATAGAAAGCATTCTTCAACTGTGACAAAAATAAATGTAACTTTGATAAAAAAAAGTTTAGTTTTTATAAACACACAGTAAATAATTTCATTAAAGTTACCAGGGCACGAGCTGGTTGAGGTGAAAAAAGTGTTATCCAAAACTTATCACGTTTTCAAAAGGTCAATCATCTATAATTTTTATGTTAACATTTCACATTATTATGACGCCAAACAAGCATTGTTGCTAAAACATTTATGAAAAAAATATGATTCTTTGTTAGAGTATGTCACTTTCTTTTCTGCCTAGCAGAACAAAATGTGATTGAATTTCCGTCTGAAAATGTGCACACTTAAAATGCACAGATTCCCTAAGAATATTTAAATCTTTTTGAGGTAACATGGGTTAAAGTAATGTCNTAACCAGGTGTACGAACAGTAAGCCACAAACATCGCTTCTCAACCTGACACCCCTATTGTCATAATACTGTGACTCACTTAATTTCCGCTTGCCTCACACATTAAGTTTGAATAGCCCGATGGTGAGGGTCACAGCCAGGTGATAAACGACAAGCTTAAAGATGTGGCGGGCTTATGCGCTTCTCTGCGTATTTAGCTGTCTTGGTGTTTGTAAGTATTTGTCTGTTCCTTTCTTTTAGGCCAAAAGATTGGCCATAAATATAAGTATCTTGTTATATTTGTCTAAACGGTGACTCAGGTGTCCTCAATACACACCTGAATAAAATTCAAAATGGCGGGCAGCTGTCGACCTAAGGAATGTATACAGTTTGCGCGCTTTACTGGCAGACTTAATTTGGCTACATTTTAAAAGCATACGAGTCAGAGACATAATTAAGATCAAAGTCAGCACTGACACTGGGCTGTGCGAATTTTATTATAAAAAATATAGAAATAAAGTTACTTATCTGGCTTCCCCACTTATTTATAGTTCGAGTATTTTTAAACTCGTTTGTTCCGTGATCCCTGGAATTAGGTATAAAGCAGTGAGTTAATGAGACCCAAAACTGAAAAAACTAAAACTCGTTTATTCTTATTTGTAGCCAGTGCGTTGGAGTGCTATGTCTGTGAAAAACAAGACACCAACATGGATAAATGCGTGAAAACCGTGAAACAGTGTGAGCCAGAACACGACACTTGTTCATCCCGGATACAGTGGAACGGTAAGATATAACATTTTCGCTGTCTGAATCACAATTAGATGTTTTGATGTTCAGTTATGAGTTCTGGATGATTTGCAAGAAAAAAATGTATTTGTAAAATATTTCTAAAAATTACGAGTTATTTATGATATACGTTTTATTGGCATTGTCCTCATTATTTTTAGATGGTTGCTTAATTTTAGACCTAGGCCTATTTCACGTTCAGAAAATGATACTTGTCAAACAATCAGTTACTGTAATAGCTTTTTCAAAACAACAGCTTAAAAAAGAATTATCAATGTACGTTAGACAGATAGGCAATGTTTTATTAACGCCACATCCTTTAATAATTACAATCGTATTGCAATCAAAAGGAAATATGAAATTAGACAATAAAGACACTCTACGTAAAACTAACGACAGACAATGTAATGGTATAGGGACAGTCGGTCATCCGGGCACTTTACCTTAGCAACCGGCATCTGGGGTAAAACAAATCGGGCAACATGGCGGATCGCATTGACTTCTATGTAAAAGTTGGCAGACTTTGTCCGAAGATATCATACTTCACAGTGCCTGACCACTTGTGTCAGTGAGGATGAGTTATTTACCTGGTCGATTTCCTTTACAGACCTTTGTAATTAGCCGCTGCACACCTGGTCAAGAGATAAAATCGGCCTTAACTGCCGATCGTTATCTGTGGTCGGGAATCTTACAGTGGTACTGTAGATTGCAAAGACCCATTTGCTTACCTGGATGAGCATAATATTCACATGTCTTTGAAAAGAAAACCATGTGGAAGCAACTAATATTATCAAGGAAGGTTTCAATTGTACTATAATAACTGTTGATGTTGCATATATTGCTGACACATATGACGGGGTAGATTTTGCAGGCCTACTGAATTGAACCGGTACTGTTTAACTCTCAGGCACGAACAAAAGTGAAATGGTGGAAGCTTGCTGTTAACCAGGTGACACTACCAACACATTAATAAAATCTAATGGGATTTGTTAAATTTCAAAGATCCACGGAAAAGTAAACGACTGTTGCAGGCTATATATATATATAGGTCGTGCAAACGTGACTAAAGACGGGATTGTTGATCGAAACAAGATTTGGTCATAGCTATACTGTACATGCACTACGAGAATTGTGTATGTGTGTATAGATTATTTTATTATAGATAAGGAGAAGGTCATTGTACCTTGTTTGGTATTTATGTTTGTCATTTGTTACAGGAATTAATAAGTAATATTTACAAGAAATTGAGATTGCATCTTGTTTTGGCATGTGTGACGGTATATCAATTCTTTTAGTTAAAATTGATGGACTATAACGTCGAACTTTTTTGTTGCAAGTTAACTGAGGGTGTTATGAAGATAAGATAAAAACGTACGTCAATATATTGACAAACCTGTGAGTTAATGTCTAAATCTTTAAGTTATCAAGTAAAATAAAAAAAGTTGCCATAAATAAAGCGACCTTAAATGGTAAAATGACATACATGTACAGCTTTATTACTGTGTTTGTTATTCAATTTAATTTTAACCTTGTACGTTTTGAAACTTTTAAAACGTTCTGTCTTCCATGATATTTCGCCAATTTTCGTACCAGAAAAGTGCACACTAAGATTGTAAACACTCATAGACGCATAGCTGCCAATATTAATACAGGTAACAAAAAGTTAGCAAGCAACTGCTTATGCTGTCCTATTACTATACAGACAAATTAAGAGGCCATGGGACCGATGACATTGCCCCTATCCTGTTCCCCTGGGTATTGCAGCAGCAGGTGATTTAATCACAATTTGTAGAACTCTTATTCAAATAACTTCTCAGTGTTGCACATTTTCCAGGCCTTTCTTACGATCCACGTTCTAAGAAGCCATTCCTTTTTCACCAACTTATGTACATGTATAGGCCTATACTTAAGGTGAACATTTGCGTATTCAGTTTATACCAATTTTATCCCGTAACAAGTTAAACAGTAGTTTATTACAAAGGCCTGCTAACTCAATAGTCCAGGTAAATGATTCAACCCGCCAGACACAAAAGGTCAAGCACTGCCTTTGCGAAATCTTCTGCTGTAAAATTCCCGATCACAGATAACGATCGGCAGTTATGTTAGGGCCGATTTTATCTCTTTACCAGGTGTGCAGCGGCTAATTACAAAGGCCTGTAAAGGAAAACGACCAGGTAAATAACTCATCCTCACTGACACAAGTAGTCAGGCACTGTGAAGTATGATATCTTCGGACAAAGTCTGCGAACTTTTACATAGAAGTCAATGTGATCCGCCATGTTGCCCGGTTTGTTTTACCCCAGATGCCGGTTGCTAAGGCGCGTGACGTCAGCCCGACTGTCCCTATACCTCAATGTAAAGCTACTCAAAAATTTGAAACTAGATTGGCACGCTCTTTTTTCAGTCCCTCCGTACTGGACCCCCCATGGAGAGCGACAACACTTTATCTCCAAATCCTGCGACACCAGAGAGATCTGTGCACAGCAAAGAACTGCATTGGAAAGAAGTTGTAAACGAGACTGGTATAACGACTGGGAGTGTGTCGAGTGTTGCCAAGGAGACAGATGTAACTTCTTCGTTACGGTAAGAATTTGAATCTTTCCCACTAAACTTTTTTAACATCGATTTTGATTTAGAGTACCGAATGGAAAAACACTATCCTCTGATATCACTGGGGCCTAAAATAGTATACAAAATTGAAAAAATTCAATTATTTTGTAGCAGACTACTCTATAATTACTGTATTGTTATCAAGTAATTCAATGTGAATGTTCGTTCTTTTATGAGAATATTTTTATGTTGTAACCTTGTTGTACTTTTCAGCTGGCGGCGGGATCTGTACAGGCAAGCCTCGTGTCAGTGATAGCGGGACTAGCAGTATCGTTTTGTTTATGGCTGAGACACTGAACGGATTTAAAATGAACTAATTTGTAAATATGACTTGTGTAAATGCTGTATCTGGATTGCAATTCCAGTCAATGTACAAATATTTCAACAGTACTTTTTGAATATTTTTAGACATTAATATCTTTTAAAACGAGTGCAGTAACAGCGTGGGCAGACGGGGGACCAAAAGAACAAGTTAACCCGGAGAGACAAGTGTTGAACATTAACTGGTTCATTTTAAAAAAGAAGTTGCCTCATGAAATGATTGTAATAATTCAAGGAAGTTAGTAGTTGTAAATACCGGAGGGCATCTATACTATAATAGGACTATGAGGATGAATAGTTTAGTTTTATACATATTTTTATACATGATCTAAAATAAAATGACAAACATGCAAGTTTATAGATTTTCATTAACATTCTGCAAAAGAATAGTTTTACATCTTGCATATGATAAACAAAGTCGAATTTTATTCGTTAATTATGCAATAAGACCAAGTTGCTTTGAATACAACACAAAGAAATAAAATGTTTTAAAGAGGACTTTGTTGATTTTTGTTATGTTTTCGATCTAATAGATATGGTCATGAATAGGTTCATACACGTACCATATCTATCATACATAGATTGGTGTCTGAATGTAGTTTGATAATTTGACAACTGGCAAAGTCATTTTGACATATTTCAAACAATACGTGATTGCATACTGGGATGTATGCCTCCCCCACTGTTAAAAACATTGCTAAGATCAAACATAGCAGGCAAATTGCCGTCTGGATATACTATTTTGAACAGATTTTCATCGCGTGCATAATAATTTTCTTTTAACTTCCATCCATTCAATTCACTTGGAGCAAAATTCCTTCATTCCCACAAATCATTTTGCAACATAAGTCTAATTGACGTCGATATTTCAATCTTTCTTTGTAAGGTATAAAAGATTACAAAAGTCAAACTGTGTCATAGTGAAATGTGCCAGCTACAGGATCATCGTTGGAAAACGTTGACATCCAAAACAATATACGGAGGTACAAAATGACAACAGAATACAGTTACGACAGGACGGACCAAATTTGAAAAATAAAATACATTGACTAGTAATTAAAGTTGACAAAAGACAGGCATGGATAAAGGGCCAAAAACACGATAAACCTCAATTTTAAAGAGCATAATTCCCTAAATAGTAGCTTACTTTTTTCTTTCTTGATACAATTTTTGTAACACTAAAAATGAGTTTTTGTGGTCCTTTTGCTTTAGTATCCTGGTGGATTGTCGCCAAACCCTCTTTTAATACAGGTACATAATTATTCTCTATTAATTTTCCGTTGATTTGAGTACACACTGTAAAGTGATAATTACACTACTTCGTAAACTTCCCACACTGTCAAAACGGTTATAGTCTAGCCAGTCATTGCTGACGACCAGTTTTACTTTCAGCTTTGCTTATATAAATATATTTTACCTGTCACCCCTCCCGCAGGTGACACTTAAGACGACCCACTTAACTTCCGCTTACAGAGGTCCAACGTTCTTTTAAACAACACCTATGAGGTGACACATCGGTCAACAATGCGACAACTTTACGGACTGTTGTGCGTTATTTGCAGTTTTTCTATAAGTAAGTATAATAAATAGTGAGTATAATTACGAATCTTGGTTAAAATGATTCTGTAAAAAATGAAACCTAGTGCTAAAGGCGCGACTTTGTGTACACTTGTATTAACACACCTGAGCCTGGTGTACCCGTCCATTCAAGATGGCGGTATATGCATGCAAATTGCGGGATATTTGTTTATTCTTATCGTTTAATTCGAGCACTTCTCTTCAGATTAAGAAGAAGCAACTTAGGTGCAATCGTTTAATTATGAGAAA